GAATTCGTGGATGAAACGAAGAAAGAAGCTGTCGAGGAAGAAGCTCGTGCTCGCGAAGCAGCAGCAGAGAAATTAAAAGACATCGACACAGCGAAAGATAAGGGAATCGCATTTATGAAGGATACGAAGGACAAAGTGGTAACAGGGGTAAAAGACACCAAGGATAAAATTGGCGATAAAGTTTCTGAAGCTACACAAAAAGTATCCGATACTAGCAAAACTGCCGGCGAAAAGGTAACAGACAGTATCAAACAAATTGGAACAGTTGCAGGTGCTACCGTTTACCAAGTAGCAGATGGTGCAAAAGCAGCGAAGGATAAAGTGACGACCGATGTAAAGGATGTTAAAGATAAAGTAGCAATTGATGTAAAGGATATTAAAGACAAAACTGCTGCGACTGCAAAAGATACTAAAGACAAAATTGCTGAGAAAGTAGTTGAGAGTGCGCAAAAGGTCTCAGACGCTGGCAAAGCTGTCGGATATAAAGTTGCAGATGACGCAGAAAAAGCTAAGGATAAAGTTGAAGCAGTTGCTTATGAAATAGCAATTGAGACGAAAGAAGTAAAAGGGAAAGTGTCTAAAGAAGTTCGCGATGACGCTGAAACTGTGAAACAGAAAGTATCAGGAGCAGTAGATACAGTAGCAGATACTGTACCAGCTGCCAAAGACAAAGTTGTTAAGGAAGCAAAGAAAGCTAAAGAAAAAGGTAGCGGTTTCCTTTCTGGATTGTTCAAGGGAACAAAACACACTGCGGATGAAATTTCTGGAGACGTTAAGGACTTCCTCGAAGAAACGAAGAGGGAATCGTCTGAAGAAAAAGCTCTTGCACACGCAGCAATGGAAAAGAAGATCGAAGATATGGCTGGAACAAAAGATAGTGCAGTTACTGGAATTAAACACACAACAGACAAAATCGTGACCTCCGTCAAAGACACAAAAGATGATGTTGGGGCGAAAATTGCTGGTGGCTTGCAAAAAGTATCAGATGCTGGTGCAGCTATTGGTGATAAAACAGCAGCAGCAACTCACGAAGTAACGGATGAAGCTAAATTAGTGAAAGACAAAGTAGCTTCAGACTTGAAGGATGCTAAGGAGACAGTAGCAACCACTGCAAAAGACACAAAAGATAAAATCACAGAGAAAGTATCAGAGGGAATACGAAATGTATCAGATACTACCAAGGTCATTGGCGAGAAAATTATTGATGGGGTACAAAAAGTTGAAGATAAAACGGCCACTGTTGCTCACGGTATTGCTGATGGCGCAAAGGCAGCAAAAGACAAAGCTGCTAAAGAAGTCAAGGAAGACGCTGAAGCAGTAAAGCAAAAGGCATCATCTGGTATAGATGCAGTCGTAGAAAGTACAGAGGCAGCAAAGGACAAGGCTGCGAAAGAAGCTAAAAAAGCCAAGGAGAAGACTGGCGGTTTCTTTTCTGGTTTATTTAAGGGTGTAAAACATGCAGCAGATGAAATGTCCGAAGATGTCAAAGAATTTGTGGATGAAACGAAGAAAGAAGCTGTCGAGGAGGAAACCCGTGCTCGTGAAGCAGCAGCGGAGAAATTAAAAGATATTGACGCAGCGAAAGATAAAGCAGCTGCAGGATTAAGAGACGCAAAAGATAAGGTTACAACTGCTGCGAAGGATACCAAGGACACAGTGTTTGCTAAATTATCACATAGCACGCAAAAGATATCAGACGTAGGCCACGCTACTGGTGAAAAAGTAGCTGATGGAGTGAAACAGGCTGAGGAGAAAACCGAAAGTGCAGCTCGAGAAATAGTCGATGCCACAAAGGAGATGAAGGATAAAGTAGCAGCGGATCTGAAAGATGCTAAAGATAAAACTGCTGCAGCCGCAAAGGACGCTAAAGATAAAATTTCTGAGAAGGTAGTTGGGGGTGCACAAATGGTAGCGGACTCCGGTAAAACTGTTGCAGACAAAGTTACAGGTGGAGTAGGAAAAGTCAAGGATAAAGTTGAGATAGTCGGTCATGAAATAGCAACTGAGACGAAACAAATGAAAGACAAAGTATCTAAGGAAATTCAAGACGACGCTGAAGCAGTAAAACAGAAAGTTTCATCAGGAGCAACTGCAATTGTAGATGAAACTGCCGCGACAAAAGACAAAGCAGCCAAAGAAGCTAAGAAAGCTAAAGAAAAGGGTAGCGGTTTTCTAACTGGATTGTTTAAGAGTACGAAGCAGGCAGCTGATGACGTCTCAGGAGACGTTAAGGACTTTCTCGAAGAAGCAAAGAGAGAAGCCTCTTTGGAAAAAGCTCG